CTCCCATTCACAGAAGCTCTTTTATATGTTCCAGCAGAAGCTCCATGAATGGAAGAGGGAGGGATGCGATGTTTGCAAATCCCCCTTTTGTCCTGCAGCCCTTCAAGCCACCTCCTGCGCTCTTCTGGAGGGTCTCGCACTGGAAAGTGGGGAGAGAAAGGCAAAAAGGAAAAATCACTTTCCTTGTCCTGTATGCAGAAGCTGGATCAAAGAGACATCCATGAATGGAAGTATAGCATTGGCTATCAACAGGAACATAGTTTTCTGCTGCTCAGAAGAATCTCTGAACTGAGTCAATTTTTTCTTTTTTGGGGGTGGGGGAGCATTTGAGTAAATACCTGCAAAAGACATTGAGACAGTGGAACGATTTGTGTGCAAGTCGTATTTCTCTGTTAAGAAGCAAAGCCCACCTTAGCCTCCCTCTTTCTTTCATGAAAGGTGTTTTCGCCGATGGCTTAGCAAACTGCATTTCAGAACCACTGACCTATTTTGAATTAATTCCTCATGACTCCAAAAATGCACTATTCATAGCACCATAGTCATTGTTCCTATGCCACACAGATTTCGTTTTCAGATGAACGCAATTTAAACTCCCATTCATTGTGAAGATCAATTTCACTAATCTTCCGCACTAATAAAAAAAGGTGCCTTTTGTAAAACCAGCTTTTGTCAGAACCAGTGTCAAAGGCTTCTGTGCTTGTTAAGAAGTGGGGAAACGTACTATGCTAAAAACATGACACCTTCTAGATCTCGATTGCTGAAAGTTCATGTTGATTGACACAATCTACTATATCAATGTCTCTGGTTATTCGCCAGATTCTGAAACATGGAACATATTAATGTAAATCAGTTTTTTAAACAGCTTTGTTTTTATTTAACAGACCATTTTCCCTAAGGAACGGCAGACCCTCCAAGTGACCCTATTTTCCAGGGGCAGTCCTGGATTTACAGAAGCTGTCTTGGTTTCTGACTTGATCCTGGAATGTCCTGCTTTTCCTTAGGACGTCCCTATTTTCATCAGAGAAATGTTGGAGGGTATGGAAGGGAGCTTCCCATAAGCAAAACATCCATTGGGTTGTATTCAACTAATGTTTCAATGAACATTGAAATTAATGTTCATGACTAAATTAGGGTTATTAATTTCGGTGGGCCTACTCTAAGTGAAAGCTCATTGAAGACACCCCAATGTTTTGAGCAACCTCTGGAATAAGTATAAGACAAACCTTTTATACGTTATGGTACTTTGCTTTATGGATCAAGCTGGTAGGCTATGTGGAACATACCAACTATTTATTCTGCCCTGGGCAAAATTGCATTGCATCACCTGAAGCATCACAATTCTCCAAAGCTCTGTTCCTTTCAAACAAAATTCACCCTGTAAGGCCTAGACTGCACACTGGTCAGGGAAATGGGAACAATATCAATTGACTTCATGCTATCTTTTCAAGAACCGGACAACACATTTCTTTCCTCTCCCTACAGGCCATAGCGTGTGTGAGAGAGGTGAGCATTAGTGATGGGCATTTTATAAGAAATTCAATAGAGAGAATATAATGGAACAGAGAAAGGACGGACTGGATAGATATATCTTATTCTCAGTGCCGCAGTGTTTTCTTTGACTGCCTTTATAAAGGCACACTTTTACCCTGCATCAGTTGTCAGGGAGTGCCTTAACCCTCAAGGCATCCCCAAGGAACCTAGTAAAATGCTCTTGCAATGAACAAAGACAACAGAAAGTAATCAAGAACCATGTTTACCCATAACACTGTCTCCCTGTCCCCCAATCATTTTCTAGGGAGGGATAAATCCACCTAACCCAGTCACTTTAAGAACAGAGATGGGATCATACAGGCCTCCTTGTTAGCAAATGCTGGTGCTTATGTGGGGTTTTATTGTTGCTGAGTAGTTCTTGGGAAACCAGCCTCAATCCCTTTCTATCACCCCTCTCCTTTATTCATTTCCCTGCTCATCATGTCTTGTCTGCTTCATGTTATCTGATGCTCCATTAAGTTTCTATTTTGGCTAGAAAAGAGGATCATCCATTGTCAGATATTTTGATTATCTGCATAACATCACAACTATTCTCATAAACCGAGGGATTTAAAAACAAACTTAATTCATTTTTAGCTACCCTTGGGATGATTCATGACTAACTCTGACATAAGCTGCAAATACTCCACAATGATTTCTTCAGGTCAATGTACACGGAAGAAATCTGTTAATCCTATGATGGTTCAACTTTTAGTAACTTCTGGATTCTCCCTGGAATCTAATCTATAACCTGTTTCCTGGGGTGTAATCCTTCAGCTTTACAGTACAGTGTGGCTTTTGCATTGAGTAGATTGCACAACTAGCCTTTTTTGAGGTTTGAAAATGAGGTGAAGAAATCTAAAGCAGATCTGTGAGTGTTTTTACTATCTTTTAAGTGGTAGAGCATATGTCTTGTCTGAAAGTTCAACTGCCAGCAGTGTCTCTGTTTAAAAGTACCCCAAGCCCAGGGAGCAGGTGAGGGGAGAGGTCTCTGCCATAGGTTGGTGGGACAAGAGACCATTCTGGACCAGATGGAGAGACAATCTTACCTGGTGAAAGGCAGCTTCCTTTGGTCATAGTTCACAGACCGCTTATTCCTTTGGCTTTTCGCAACAAATGCTTAAAAGTGTATTCTGTGTGTGTACCTAAAACCAGTGTTGGGTTTTTTTGTGGTTTTTTAAGAAAAAGAGGTACCGGAACTCACCATGAACACCTCCCTCATTCTCTTAGAATGGCAATGGCACCCACCTGAGAGATGCCAGAACTGAGTTCCGGCAAGTTCCAGCTGAAAAAAGTCCTGGCTAAAATACATGCCCTATCATCAAAGTTTTTGTTTTACAATAAAGATTAAGAAGATAAACACCATAGCATCCACCCAAACTTGCAAGATTCTATGGGGACTTAAGGGGCCAGCATAAAGATAAAACCATTTTTTAAAAAAATCCAATGCAATATAGCATAGGACCTTACGAGTCAACATCACTCCTCTTAGGAAATTGTGCGTGGGATCCTGAATACAAAGGCATGAAGGGAATGATTTCATTTTTAAAGGATTCCTAGCCCTTGTCTGTGGAGGCTGAGGGCTGTGCATACACACATTCTTGCACCAGTCTAGTTAGGAGCTAGACAGACATGTATGGTGGGACTATCAGGGCAAGACTTGGAGTAGAGGTGTGGAGAAAAGAGAAGAAGCCTACCACCCAATGCAGCTGGGCTGGCTTATTTTGAAGTCAAAATAGCAGTGTTCCCTTACGGCCATTAAGATGAGAGTCCAGGGTTGGCCCAAGACATTTCACCTGAGGAAAAAGGGCATGTTTGTGCCTCACTTTCAACTCCACAGACCGGCTAAACTAGTAGTTCAACCTTATTTACACCCTCATGATGGGATAGTATCTGCCACAGCACCTGAGGACAGTAGGCTAGCTCAGGGAGTACAGGACAGGCCTCAGGGCATTTATAGTTCTGTCATCTAGCACCTCACTGCTGTCCTCAACATCTGCTGCCTGAAGCAGTTGCCTCATTCCCCCTAATGGCTGAGCTGGCCCTCCAAGGGACCTAAAATTACCTAACTGCACCACTGTATGTATGGGGGGGGGAGGGGGAGGAAAAAGAACCCCCTTGACTCTTTTGAATTGTTCCCCATGAGTTACAGCTATTCACTCCTTTCCCCGTTACAAAGCTGTTTTCCTCCTACAAAGGTACTTCTCAAAAGACGGCTCGCCTCACCAACAGCAGGCTGCCTCCATCTGCCATTGTGGGTTTGCCTTTGCTACAGCCAGCGCAAGAAAACAAAACCACCTAATAGGTTTCGATTCCTTCCCCGGTCCCTTTCTCGTGAACATAAAGCAGAATGATTAAAAGGGCACGTATTCTCTTAGTTGGAACATTTAAACAAGGAAGGGTGTGCTTGTTTCAAAGAACGGGCAAATGGTTATCTGGAGGGATTAGGCTTTTTATTTTTATTGTTAAGTAAAGAAAAGGCACAGCCCAACATGATAACCACTGCTGAAGCACAGATGTCCAGCTTTGCCATTCGGCTATGTTGTTTTTCTAAAGGTCTTCCAAACGAAACCCGCTGGTGTGTTTGCACCTCAACTCGGCTCGACACTCATCTGAGGAATGTGATTAAGAGCTAGTGCCAGGCCTGGCCTGCCTCTTTGGGCAAATGCTCACAGGTCTGAAATTTTCAAAAGCCTGCTTAACGGTGCCCTAATTAAACAAGTAGAATGCAAGAGGAATTTCTCTGAAAGGTTTAAAGACCGTGCCAAAAGAGGGGGGGGGCCGTATCATGTTTATGTTTCAGCAAAGCCAGTCAGAGGCTATTAAGGCTCGCTGGTTCGACGTTCACCCAGTGGCATGAGAGACCCTGCTTCAGCAAAACCACCAGGGACAGGGCCTTTTCAATAGTGGCACCTCAGTTATGAGGCAGCCTTCCCAGGGAGGCTCGCCTGGTGCCCTCTTTGTGGTCTGCTCACCCCGGCCTTTAAAAAAACTTCAGCAGTTTGACCTATATATTTTTAAATCTGTTTTTAATTTTGGGAGAGCACCGAATTCTGTTTTGTTGTGTTTATGCCCCTTCTCCTTTAGTAGTTTTATGTTTTACTTGACATTTCAACTGTGGGTTTTATTACTTTTTTATTGTAAGTCACCCACAGAACTTTGTTTTATGGGGAGGCACACAAATAAATGACTAAATGGAACTGGAGCAGCTCTGAACAATTGTCGGTTCTTTGTTTTGGGGCGTCGGGCACAACACTGTCAGTGTAAGCCCTCACCCTCAATGGCCTCCTCTTCATCCTCACTGCCACTACTGCCAACTGAGGAACTGATGCTGCTACTGTTATTTTTTATATATATATTTTTTGGAGGGCAAAGGAAGTTTATTGGAAGGACCGAGGGTAGCTCATCACTCTTCAACCAGGCTTGTACAAACACATCGCATGGGAGTTTTGACCCAACTTGGCTACAGCTCAGCGCAACCGCCGGGCGTCGCGTTCAGACTCCAACAGCGTGAGGACATCCCCTTCCCGGACTGGGCCTTTCACGTTGCGGATAATCGAACGGCTGGTGTCATCCATGAATTCCACACGGACCTGGGTGCACTGCCCCTGCAAGCCTGTCCGGCCCAGCACTTTGGTGACTCGGGCCAGCTTGATGGGCTGCAGGCGGCTCGTGTCCATGGCGGAGGTGAAGGCAGCAGGCGGGGAAAAAAGCGCTACTGTTATTTTTGATCCTTGTTGGCTCATGACTTGCTTACTCCATCTCTGTTTGTGTAAACAGGCAGCAATAGTGAAAAGGAGAAGCAGCAAGCTTCTGGACCTTAGCTGATGCCCAACCAACCAGCCTGACACCACATCCCTCAACTGCCCTGAACAAATTGGGACATCCCATTTTGAGGCACCGCAGCCCCAAAAGATGTTCAGGGTGCAGTCTTGTGCAGGTCACATGACTCACGCAGGCATGCATCCCAGAAGACCCAGTTTTCCAAGGCAACATGTTGGAGGGTGTTTGACACAAGAACTGAACTTGCTCCAGACCTTCCCATGCCACCAGGAAGAGTGTCGTGGAGAAATGGGAGGAGTCTATGCTGTGCCGTAATGCCTGCTGCTGTGAGGTCACAGAATCCTAGCAAATTAAGGCAGAAGCATAGAATGTTGGAAAAGGGCAAGGCAGAAGGGGGAATGTCAGCTGGTAACAACTAGAAGGGAAACAAGCGCTGAATAAAGGAGGCAAAGGCAGAGCGAAGAAAACAGCTAGATACAGCCTCAGGAAAGAGGGGGAAAGTGGACCAACAACCCAGATTTATGGTAGCAAAATAACTGTACAAATCTTGCCACTCAACTAGAAAATTATTTCTTTTTTAAAGTATATCCTACCTTTCTTGTACAACAGCTGCAGGTGGATAACATTTCATCAGAACAACAACACATCTATCTATCAAAATAAGGTACAAAAGTAGGGCTGCCATTTCAAACAGCGATGTATTTGAGCAATTTTTATGGAAAAATGGCAAAAACGACACTGCCAACACGGGTTGCCTTATGTCTGGATTTCCCCAGACATGTTGCCATTTTCCACCTGGACACTGCTGCCAACTGCAGTTTTCCGGATATGTCCAGGAAATTCAGGACGTATAGCAACCTTAACAGAAAAAAAACCCAACAAGGTAGGTGTGTGTGTGTGTGTGTGTGTGTGTGTGTGTGTGTGTGATCCAAAGAGGTATGTGCTCTGGTACAATATGCAAAGCTCGTAGCTTTATGTACTTTTTACATTTCTGAAGCACTCCATAGTCCCAGAGAACCAGCAGTTGGTATTTTTTTGACAGCACAAATATTTAGCAAAGGTAATTAGGGACTGGGGAAATCCTCTTTCATTCCTTCCTTGCAAAGGCCAAGTGTCCAAGCCATTCATCATGCATTTGCAGAAACCTTAACCAAGAACAAAGCAGTAAGAACTGCCGTTGTTTGTCTTTTCTTAACCACCAGCGGCAAAATAAGGTTAATGATATGTTTGTAACAACTACAATTATTCCTCACAGACATTCTTCTGAATTAGAGAAGTCTTATTTTATGATTGGTGACCTATATGAGGAGAGAGAGAGAGAGAGAGAGAGAGAGAGAGAGAGAGAGATAAGGCAATACTAGCTATCAGCTTTTTGATGACAATTCCACATACACCCCCCCCTCTTCATTTGAGATTAGAGCACACATCTAACTGGTCACATTTTGCAACACAGAGAATAATACATTCCCAGGGAAACTGGGGATATAACCTTGGGGGAAAGATGTGGCTTGATTGAGCAGATAACTAACTACACACATCTTTAGGTAAATGGCAAAATATCAAAGGAAACTTTTTTTAAAAAAATAAAAAGGACCAATGTCCCTACAGGAAAGTATCAATAGAGATTTTCGCATCTGAGCTCAAAGCGTTGTAGCATGTCTTTGATTATGGGACTTTTACCCAGAGACTGCTTTATGAGAACAAATATGCTGTTCAAATTGTCATCAGAATGACAATGAATTAACCAAGCCCTATTCAAATGGACTTCTGGCATGACATCAATCAGCTACTCTTTTCACGATGCATCTAGGTTAATATAAAAGAAATGCAGTACAATATCATTTATTTCATTTAACAGCCTTCAAAGAGTAGATCATAAAATTCTTTATTGGGCATCACTTCAAGACAAGATCTGAAGAGGGGAAGGCACTCACAAGACTCAAAGGAAAGGAAGAGAGTTTCAGAGACACAAATCCCACCTCAGGGCCCCAAAGAAAGCATTTTTCAAACAGGTAAAGAAAAAAAGAAGTGAAAGAAACAGTACGAGATCATCATTTCCTATTTCTGTGCCATAGTCCAGGGGTTGCAATTCTGTTTAAAACTGTCATGGGTATGTTTCAACATGTAACAAGTGACTTATGTCTGCACTTTCTTTTTGTTCCTGAGATAGGATTTTAGAAAAAATGCGGCAAACAATGACCTTGACGTCTGGTTCCAGATGATACCCAACAACTTCCACAATCTAAGGCCTATTTGGACATTGTTTTCTTACACTATTAGCATCCTGGAAGGGGTGGCGGTGGCAGCAGGGCTGTGCAATATATCAATATATCTTTCAAAACCGGTTCGAAGTCCATATTGTGATATCGGTTTCATAATTTTTGACCTGGCAATATGTCACGGGGTGGGTTTTTTGTGTGCTATGCAAAAATCACAATGTGTGGGGGGGGAACTGTGATGCCAGTCAATGTCTCTACATGTTGTTGTTTAGTCGTTTAGTCGTGTCCGACTCTTCGTGACCCCATGGACCAGAGCAGTTTGGTCTAACTCATGCTGGTAGCTTCGAGAACACCATCCAACCATCTCGTCCTCTGTTGTCCCCTTCTCCTTTCCCAACATCATGGTCTTTTCCAGGAAGTCTTCTCTTCTCATGAGGTGGCCAAAGTATTGGAGCCTCAGCTTCAGGATCTGTCCTTCCAGTGAGCACTCAGGGCTGATTTCCTTAAGAATGGATAGGTTTGATCTTCTTGCAGTCCATGGGACTCTCGAGTCTCCTCCAGCTCCATAATTCGACAGTGTCAATTCTTTGGCGATCAGCCTTCTTTATGGTCCAGCTCCAGCTTCCATACATCACTACATAGCTCCATCCTTATTTCACACATTGTGATATGTTACGATGTTTAGTTGGTGATATGTTGTGATGGTTAGCTGGTGATGTATCACGATGATGAAAACCAGATATCGCCCAGCCCTAAATAGCAGCCATTGCCACTCTGCCCCCAATCAGTCGACTCTCTGTTTGTCAATTGACACACAATGTCAGTTGACTCTCTGCTGTCCATGAATTGGAGAGAAGATTAGAAGGGGGAACCTACTCTACCTGCAGTTCTTAGGCTCCTCCTATGACACAGAACCCTTTTAATTGTTCCAAGAAATACTACCCTAATAGGGCTGATGCAAATAATGTCTCAGAGCTTGCAGAACGAGGGAAGTCAATGGGAAACAGCATCAAATGTTGAAGACAACCAACCAGGGAGCTCAGTCACTGTGGTCAGTAGTCTTCCTAACTTAGGGTCTTGCAGCACTTTTATTAATTCAGTCAAAATAACCAGAAAGGCTAAATGGTGCACTTTCTACACATAGGAAGAATGCCCCTCTCTCTCTCTCTCTCTCTCTCTCTCTCTCTCTCTCTCTCTCTCCCTCCTTCCCTCCCTACTTAAGGAGGCATGGGCCTTTTCACAGAAGGGTTACGAGTTAACCCAGATAGCATGCTGCCACAATTCATTTCCACTTTAAATGTCCAAATATTATTCCATTACTAATTACAGATAAAATTGTGAATGCTGGCTGGTCTCAAGACAGGGTTCAGTTGTTCTCAGAAACAGTATCATTTCTGATATTGGTGGCAATGATGGTACCGATATAAAGAAAGTCAGCAGCAATTTACATGGGAAAATCTGCTCCCTCTCCTACCATTACTGGAATGGTCTTTTAGATTTTTCTTTTTTCTAGTTTTAAGGTATGCACATGTTTGCTTAAAATATTGCAAGTAGCTTTGAGTTACATTGGTAATAAAGCAAGCAGTTCATTTAATAAATACTACTAATAATATAAGCATTGCCCCTTTTGCTTCTAGGTGTCTATAATATGCTCAGAGATAGCCAGTGTCTATTTTCTTTTCTTTATTCCTTGTATTTATATACAAGAGTCAAAGCCATCACCAAGCAACTCAAGTAACAAGTATTATAGTGGCCCCAAACCGCAGCATCGAATACAAAATGTGCTCCAAATACACATATGGTCCTTATCTGAAAGATAGACAACTTGTATTCTCTATCATTAATTAGTGTTTCTCTTGACAAATTTTAAAAGTGCAGCTTGTGTGCCTAAAAAAGATAAGGAAATAAGGACATGTGCAAAAAATCCTTAAATCGCTGCCATGTTGTGAGCATGTTGTCCTTTTCATTGGCTAACTGACAGCAGGAGGCCCTTCGCTAGAAAACGACACCTTCAGATTTCCAGATTTAATTTTTCTTGCACACATTGGAGGCGGAAAAAGATATTTAAGCCCGTCCAATACTTCCTTCAGTGACCTGGTGCACCAATCACTGGAGATACCTAACTGGCTCAGACAGTGAATATTTCACCGCATTGTCTTGAAAGTGCAACAGGTTTAAGACCCAGTGGGCCTGCTGTAGTCTTAATGAAGCAGTTAATGATGTGTGAATTATAGAGCCTGACAACCCCCCTCCCCAATAAAACCAACAGGGATGCTTTCAGAGTCTTCCATGGCAGTTAAGTAATGACAATGCTGTCTGCATAACTTAACAAAGCACCATTAAGTAAAACGCCATGTCTACCTGGCCGCACTGAGCATGCCCATACACACAAACAAACATCGGTGTGGAAGAACTAGTCATACGTTGCTTTCTTTCTAGACAGTTGGCAAGAGAAATTCACCAGCCATGGGAAGCCGGGGAGGGGGCTTTGCAACTCAGCACCCTGTAAAACAACGTGTTATTCACAGTTATCGCAATTTGGCTTTTCTGGGAGAATCCTCCTTTAGAGAAACACATGCAGAGGATTTCAATCAGCCAATTGTTTCCCCACATGAATGAGGGGAGTTCTGAATGTGCTGCGAACACTGCGCTTCGCTCCCTCGCACAAAAGGCAGCTC